ACTGCCAGCACAAAGCCAGAGCCCTCCCTGGAAGGGCAGGGGGGCACCTGGGTGACAGAGGCACTAACAGCATCTGACGTCGGACGGGGCAAAGACAGCATCGTGCCCACAGGTCTCTCTGCCAGAGCTGAGCCTTGCAGGTGACACTTGTGACACAGGACAGACATTTAGCCCCAGACCTGCACCCACACTGGACCTGCACCCATCCCAGTCCTGCCTGTCAGCTGTGAACCCCCTTCCTCAGAAGTTTGACCAAAAACTAAGAAGGTCTGAACCCAGCCGCTCCTACACCTGGGCACCCACCTCGCCCTGTCCCTCTGGGTCTCATTTAAGAAGTAAACACGGGTGAAGATCGCCTTTCTCCTGTGCTGCCTTCCTGCGGAGGCTCCTGGGGCCACCCCTCAGGCCCCATCCCCACCTCCCCGGTCTCCTCCATCCCACACAGAGCTGGCTGGTATCATGGATCCCGGCAGCCACAAAAGCAATCAAGGCAGAAAGCAGGGATGGTGCCGCGCATGGCCCAGCACGGATCCGGCACAGCTTCACTCGGCTGCCACCGCATCCTACCCTCATGGTAATTAAGGGAGCTAAAATAAATAGGGATGGTTTCATCCCTGCAGGGATAATTCCTCCTCCCGGGGTGGCGCGTGCCTGCAGGGCTGCCCCAGAGGTTGGGGATGAGGCAGACAAAGCCAGCGGGGCGGAAATGGTTGGAAATGGAAATTTCCCAGGAAGGGAGGAAATCGCTTCTTTCTGGGGCGTAACCAGCCCTTGCCCTCCAACAACTTTATTTGCTGCTGTCGTATCCCTAAATAGCTCCTTGAAGCAGCTGCTGGGAGTTTACATCTCCTTCACCTCTGCTCCCCTCCCAGCCTTGGGAAATGGGCTCACGCAGCCCCGATTTCCGAAACAACTCACCCCAAGCAGAGGGAAAACCTCCAGCCCTGCCCAGCCACCCTGCAGGCACAGGACCCCCGCAGCACCGCTGCCCGCCCCAGCACCGCCCCCCGACCACAGGCAACACTTCGGGGAGTGCAGAGCCCCGGGAAGGTTCAGTCTTTAAGGCTGGGAGTGGAGACCGTGAGCTCTGGTGGGTCTGGAGCCAAGGGTGCGCCTGGGGTCCTTTTGGAAAAGGTGCTGATGTGCCAGGAGGGAAGCGGTGGGGCTGGGAACCTGCTCCTCTGACCCCAGAGGTTGGTACCCCAACCCCAACCTGTTCGCCATCCCTGCTCCGGGCTGGGGCTGGATCTGGAGAGAAGAGCACAGGAGGCGTGAGAAGACGTGCCTGGGAGAGCAAGCGGCGAGGGGAGGGTACGCGCAGGGGCCGACGCTTATGCTCAGCCAAAGCGCTGAAGTCAGCACTAACCGGAGCCATCTGTTCCCAGCGAAGCCCCGGCACGGACGGACTCGACCAGGCTCCCGGCAGCGGATGCCGCCA